TCTTATCATACACTGATTATTGTTTGATAGTATCCGGAATAACTGAGGATATTTTGAGGGAAATTTATCTCCAGGGCAAAGGTGCTCAGTGTTCAGGGTGTATATAAAGTTAAGTACCTACTGGGCAAGGAAGATCTGTGTATCACTAAATGATACAAGTCAGACTGCAGAGGACAGATAAATCGGGGGTTCAGGCTGCCCAGTGCAGTGGGATGAATGCCCACAGACCCAGGCTACTCTTGTTCTGGGCTGGGCAGACCAACCTGTCTTTTCTCACTGCCCTCCATAAGGGCAGAATCTGGGAGGCAGGATCTGAATTTAGCTTTGTTGTGTGCTGTTCATGAAAGAGAAAGAAGCTCATTATTGCTTTGACATTTTGAACAGATCATAATCTGTCATGCAGTAATGAAGGGAACACATTTTAATATTTCTGGAAAAGACCATCTTTTGTCATAATACTCAGAAAAGGCAAGAGTTTTCAACAAGTTCATAGTTTATAATTACCTGCTTAGGGAGATGATGCTGGAGAGATTTTTAATCTACCAAGTAAAAACATTAAACGATCTAATGTTGGCAGTTGAATTCAGCAAGTTGGAAAGAAGAAGTTTTTTTTAATGCTGAAAATAGTCAACCATTGCCACAGACTGCTCTGATACTTGGTGAATTCTCTCTCACTTGGCATTTCCAATTCAAGTTGGGAGATCTGTTTTTTAAGACATGAAGTGGTTCAACTGAAAATCTTTGGGCTGGATATCTGTATATGATGTGCAGACTAAATTGCTTCCTATGATTTTCATGTATATGTAGGTAAGACAAAATATAATCTCAAATTGTATGAAGAAGGATTTAAATTAGGCATTTGGGGAACCTTCCTGATAGTAAAGGAGAAAAGGAATGAGGTAAACTTTGGGAGTGTTATAAACTCTCCATCAGGGGGGCCTTTGAAGTATCTGACATAGATATCAACAGATGCATAGATATGGATGTCCTTTGGGTCAGGAATCGGGCAAGGGCAACCCTTAAGGTTTATCCCAGTCCTCTCATTCTTTAATGACACCATCCTTCCTAGCCTACAAAACAATATTTCTGAACCTCAGTAGGACCTCAGTAGGATCCAGGCCTACAAACCTGCCTCATGCCTGAGTTCCAGTGACAGTATTTGTTTGGCTTTAGAGCAACCTTAAAGCTACTGTTGACTGCCCAAGCTGTAGCCTGGATGCCGCATCTCAGTACATATACCACATCTATCAACTAATGTAAAGATAAAAAGTTATACTAGAGCCATCAGCCCTGAAAGTCATGCCTAGTTACAGAGTGTAGGGTTGAATCCATGTGCAATTCATTGAACAGTATTAATGAAGTCTTTGCTTGTGCTTAACTCTAAACACATTAATAATTTCATCACTATCCAGCACAGCACTTCAGCCTGTGCTTAAGTTTCACTGATGTTGATTACTCACATGGTCAAAGTCAAGCACATGCTGAAGTGATAAAGACTGCATGTGGCAAAGCCTATATAGCTGGTTGTCATAAAGCGGGTATTTAACCAGACTTCAGTGCAGGTGGCAAGGGATTAAGATAGCCATATATCAAAAGTAGCCTTATAACAAAGAGTTTTATAGTGTAGGTGCGCTGCATTATTAAATATAAGGATCATTATTGAGCAATACGTGGCTGTTTCTGGGCATGTTTAAAATATTTAGCAAGTTTTTGAATATAAAAATGTTCGGAGTGGATCTTCAAAGAGTTTTTGACATTGTTCTGTTCTTAAAAGTGAGCATCTATACTGCTCAGGGCAACTTCTAGGCAAGATACCATGAAGTGATAATATGAAAATGAACATTTTCTTTTTTTTTTTTTTTTTTTTAAATGGGGAGTCTAGGGAGAGTCTTTGAGGGCTGTGAAAGTTAAACAGTAGACACACAGGCATGCACACATGAACACTCGTGAAGCAGCCAGGGATTGATAGCTAGGTAGCCTGCAGTCAATTTTGCCATCAGGTTAGGGTCTCTCAGAGTTAAAGAGCATAAAAGCTGAACAAAACAAAAAGGAAGACTATTTTATGACTGCTAGCTTGTAAATCTTAGCACTAATAGGACTAATTTGCTCTCTTCAAAAGAAACTAAAAAGGAGGGGGATTTACTTTCCTCACTTGAATATTACAGAGGTGAAGTTTTGGAGGACAAAACAAAACACCTCAGTTCCATGTAACAAGTAGTAGCAAGCATCCAGCCAGCTGCCATTTTGAGGATAATTTCTTTAATCAGCCATTTCAGTTTTAGATTGGCCTTGATCCTCAGTCTGCTCAGGAATTTTTCTCCTTACGTATGTGCTGAAGTAAACGTGTTGCTGTTGTTGTCGTTGTTGTCTAATACACAGCTTTCTTCATCCTGTCAGCTCATGAGCTAAGCAAGGAGAATGCACGCACATACACACTCTCACACTTAATTTTTTTAAAGAAAAAAACCCACAACAAAAAAGAATGAAAAAGGAATACATGCTGTGACTTTAAAAATGAAAGAATCGAACAGCTGTGGGTAATAAATCGATTAATTAGAGTGGATAAAATGAAGGTGAAGGGTGCAGAGCACTCTTTAATTTGAAGATATATGACCTTGTAAGATGCTGCACTTCATTTGCTATTATATCACACTTCGGAAGGGGCTTTATTAAAATCTATTCTAGGGTGAGCTGAGGTAAAACATATTGTTAAAAAAAAGCGTTTGACAGAGTATGTTACATACTTTAGTCTGCTTCAGTGATTTCTGTCACTTTTTATACTACAGATGTTGCTGTGCAAGAAAATTAAAGGTCTAGACATTTTCATCATATTTCTGTAAGAAACAGAAATTTAAATATTTGAAGTAATAATGGGAGCATTTAGTGTTGCTTTGGCTGCAGAGCTGACATAAAACTCCCTAACTGCCTCAGTGCTGAGTAGATTTTTAAGGGATAATGTATCAGTTCCTTTCCGTGTTTGTATGTGGCTTTCATTAATGTCAATAGCAGTTAGTGGCACTTTTTCCAAGCTGAGTGCAGTTCCCAAACTTGTGTTTTTTTCCAAGAGCAGTTGTTAGAGAGTAATCAAAACAACTGGCTCTGTCCCATACAACGCAGTGTGCAGGGTCGGGGCACAGGGGCCATGTCAGAGAGGCAGAAACGCCTGGTGTGTTGTGTGCGTCTTTTCTTGGATGTAGAGAGGCAGCTTCTCTGAAATCAGGGTCTGAAGCTGCTATCCACAGCAGTAGCCCTACTAAATCAATAGGAGCTCGAGGAGCTACACCACATTTATCACCTACCTTTGTAAATAAGTCTCAATCTGATAGATGCTTTTTCCTTTACACTTTTATGGATGTACATTGGGTGATAACATTAAATAGACTGACAGGCTGATAGGTAGGCAGATAATCCTCTAGTCTCCTTGTCTAAGGTTTTGTAGGTTTTGTTATCAGTAGCCGTTCCTGCAGCTGCCAGCAGAGGGGAATTCAGTCAGCAGCAATCCTGCTTCACCTGGTGTGCTCGAGTTTAATTTTTTTTCCTTTATTTTTTTTGGACTGCTATGAGTCATTCCTCTTTACAAAGGTAGTTTTGATAATAGAGCTCTGTTCACCTTATAAGCTCATTCTCAAGCTCAAGCATTGGGCTTTTGTGAATTGCAGTCCTCTCCATCTAGAAAGGGGTTACATAGTTCAGCTTTGGATCTGTGAAGGGGCTGGGATAGGGCTTCATCTCAGTTGTGCACATACGGGTTAGGTGGGAAGCTTGGTTCAGGCTTTGAACTTTCAGGAAGTTTAGCACCTTTAGGTGCAGTGGGGCCATTGCTAGCCAAAATATGTGCTTTCATAAACAAACAAACAAGCAAGAAATTAATTTTAGATATTCTAAAATGGGTAGTTGTTTTTCAGGAAACCTCCCCCTCATTTAAAAAACAACAACAACAAAACAAATCCTGGATCATGATTTTCAAGTTGACACACGTTTATGAGTTTATCAGAGTCTTGAAGAAGCATTGAAAAAAACGAGGAGAGGGGAGAAAGTGCTTTTTCGAGATAGCACATAGTTTATATTGTGCTCAGGTCTGGAATTTTCTAGCTAGCAAAATTATGACTGTAGTATGGACTTGTCCACACCTGTCCTTTATGTAAAGCTGAATCAAGGTTAAAGGAATGCTTTCCACCTTTATGCAGTCGTTCAAAAAGGCTAGAAAGGCAAACAGAACAATGTTTTTGGCTCCAGTGAGAGTTTCTGCATTGGAGGGCAGGCTCAGGCTCAGAAATTCTTGGGACCCAGTTCAAGCACGGCCCGACGTTTGTTACTGTTAATTGCAACTATGCTGTTGGCTTTGATTACCGGATGTTTCATTTGAGTGGCTTCTTGGTGTTTTGGCAAAAAGAATGTCAAAGTGGTTTATGCAAGGGTATGTTTTCCAAGCTCCTGTTGACTTGAATAGAACTTGTGCAGCTAAATACCTATGTAGTATTTTAAAAATGGAAGTGCTGGCATGACTGAAGCATGTATAAATTAATTTTAGAAAGATCTCAGGGGACTGCTGCATGAAGTATATAAAAATATAAAATGACAGAGTGAGAATGACACTGAAGCTCCTTGCAGGTGCCTTGTAAAACCTACCACACTGCATTTTCCTTGGTTTCTGTCTGTAGTAATAAATCCCTTGAAACAAAATGTTTTTGTGGAATAAACATGTGAAAGGATGTGGATCCTTCTGCGTCATAAAGGAAGGTTTTATTTGCAAGTTAGAGGATATAAACACATATAGCATCAATGCGTATGTGTGATATTTGTCATACATGTTAAGTGAATAAGTGTGGTGAGTAAATGTGCTGTTCAACAATTTATATCAGTCAATACATTGCAATTAAGTCCTTCTTTCAGAAATGCCAAGGAGGAAATGTGTTAGCAAAATAAAGTGCATGCCAACTGTATTTAAATGTTCTCTGCTGTATTACTTTTTGAGTGTTCTTTCTCTTTTTCTTTTATAGGTAAAGATGAGCCTTCAAGCTATATTTGCACAACATGCAAGCAGCCTTTTAATAGCGCTTGGTTCTTGCTTCAGCATGCCCAGAACACACATGGATTCCGCATCTACCTGGAAACAAGCCCTTCAAGCAGTTCCCTTACTCCACGCATCACTATCCCTCCTCCTCTGGGACCGGAGACTGTTGCACAGTCCCCACTGATGAATTTCCTTGGAGACAACAACCCTTTCAATCTTTTGCGAATGACAGGACCCATCTTGCGTGAACACCCTGGCTTTGGTGAAGGTAGGCTCCCAAACACACCTCCGCTGTTCAGCCCACCACCTCGTCATCATCTGGATCCACATCGCCTTAGTGCCGAAGAAATGGGGTTAGTTGCCCAGCATCCCAGTGCCTTTGACAGAGTTATGCGTTTAAACCCCATGGCAATTGAATCCCCAGCGATGGATTTCTCCAGAAGGCTTCGAGAACTGGCAGGAAACAGTTCCACCCCTCCGCCAGTCTCACCCAGTCGCACCAACCCTATGCATCGCCTGTTGAATCCTTTTCAGCCAAGTCCTAAATCACCTTTTTTGAGCACCCCGCCACTGCCTCCCATGCCCCCCAGCAGCACTACACCTCCCCAGCCTCAGGCCAAGAGCAAGTCCTGTGAATTTTGTGGGAAAACATTCAAGTTCCAGAGTAACCTTATTGTGCACCGGCGCAGTCACACAGGAGAAAAGCCCTACAAGTGTCAGCTCTGTGACCACGCTTGCTCCCAGGCCAGCAAGCTAAAACGCCACATGAAAACGCATATGCATAAAGCTGGCTCCATGACGGGCAGGTCAGATGATGGACTGTCCACCACTAGTTCCCCTGAGCCAGGCACAAGCGAGCTCACTGGAGAGGGACTGAAATCCAGTGAGGCCGATTTCAGGAATGAGAGCGATCCTTCGCTGGGCCATGACAATGAAGAAGAGGAAGAGGAGGAGGAAGAGGAAGAGGAGCTTGAAAACGAGAGCCGGCCAGAGTCAAGCTTCAGTATGGATTCGGAGCTGAGTCGTAACAGAGAAAATGGCTCCAAGTCGCTGCCAGATGAGAAATCCCTTGTGTTGGGAAAAGTCATTGAGAATGTAAGTCTAGGTACCATCCAGCAATATAATGACATGATAGCTGAAAAACAGAAGAGGAGTAGCTTCATGAAAAGGTCTTCTGACCAGCGAGACTTGTGTCCTCGAGACCTCTGTCAGAGAGATCCAGCTGATGAAGACTCAGTGGTAGGAGAGCTAGACCGCACTGAGGAAGGGACAGTCAATGGAAGAAACTTTGGCCCAGGTGAACCCTTCCCAAACTTGTTTCCCCGCAAGCCAACACCTATCACAAGCCCTAGTTTAAACAATTCCTCTAAAAGAATAAAGGTAGAGAAAGATTTGGACTTGCCACCAGCAACAATAATACCTTCTGAAAACGTTTACTCCCAGTGGCTGGTAGGGTATGCAGCATCACGGCATTTCATGAAGGATCCATTCCTTGGATTCACAGACTCCCGACAATCCCCCTTCGCAACCTCCTCCGAACACTCATCGGAGAACGGAAGCCTGCGTTTCTCCACCCCACCAGGGGACATGCTGGACGGGGGGCTCTCAGGGCGCAGCGGCACGGCAAGCGGAGGCAGCACCCCCCACATCAGTGGTCCCGGCCCTGGTCGACCCAGTTCGAAGGAAGGGCGCAGGAGCGATACATGTGAGTACTGTGGCAAGGTCTTTAAGAACTGCAGCAATTTGACGGTGCACCGTCGGAGCCACACTGGAGAGCGGCCTTACAAATGTGAGCTGTGCAACTATGCATGTGCCCAGAGCAGTAAGCTGACGCGCCATATGAAAACGCATGGCCAGATAGGGAAGGAGGTCTACCGCTGCGACATTTGCCAGATGCCCTTCAGTGTTTACAGCACCCTGGAGAAACACATGAAAAAGTGGCATGGAGAACATTTGCTGACAAATGACGTCAAAATTGAGCAGGCAGAAAGAAGCTAAGGGCCCTCCCCATCCCCCGCTAGGTTAAATTTCAGGGGTCTAGGTAACATTTTATTTGTACAGTTTAACTATTGCCAACTGAGAAAAGATGACCTAACTTGCCTCCGTAAACATAACTTAGCATAAATACGGTAGGTGCCAGACTTTGGCACTTAAATATAACCTGTGTCTGCAAAGTTCTATTAAACCCGAGGGTTGATTAAGGCAGTAAAAATTGTGGAGCCTTTTAACTGTGCAATAATTTCTGTATTTATTGGGTTTTTGTAATTTTTTGGCATGTGCAGGTACTTTTTTTTATTCTTTCTGTTTAAATTTCTTTAAAAATTTTGTTGGGTATCCCTTTTTAATTTTACCCAGTCGTAGCCTGAGATTACTTGCATTGTAGAGGAGAAACATATCTTTTAAATTCTAATTTTTGGGCCGCTGCTTTGTTGAAATTTAAGCTAAGCATGTGTAATTTCTTGTGAAGAAGCCAGCATTTGAACAGAAATACTCTTTTTTTTTTCTTATTTTTCTCCTCTCCCCCCCCCCCCCCCCCCTTCCTCTTCATAAATAACCTTAAAGATTAGGGATTACAAAATTGTACAGCGGATAACAATCTTAAAATTAGCACTTTCTTTTGGAATTGGATCAAATATGCAGCGCTGACAATGTCGCTGACGATAGAGGCCTTTTCTAGATAGATTTAATCACTAAAGTTGTTGCAACGGATAAAGCATAGGTGCAGAAGGCAGCTACATACAAAATCCAGAAACATTCTTAATTGTGTGTTACTATCAGATGGTCTCTTCTTGCTCTTAAAAGTGATGGCAATATAATGGTGCCATTTCATCACCTTTTGGGTTTCTTTCCCACTGTCTTCCCTTCCTGCTACTCTTCCCACAGACAGTAAAAGTATCCCAAGTATCATATATTTTCAAACCTTGGAGGAGCCAAATACCGTCTTTTTTCTTTTAAATGACAAAATCATAAATTTGTGTTCAGGACATCTACTTTAGTCCATATTTGCTGTAGTTAAAATAATTACTAAAGGATGGGAGAGTGAATTTTGCAATGAAAAGCCTCAACTCATAGGCATTTGGTTTATGAATAGAAATATTAGAACTATCTTATATGATGTGCAATGATGTTATTATAAAGAAGGGAAAAATAAATTCTAGTTGCTTTAGCTGTCTTGGCAAGATTCAGCTCCTACTGAAGTCGGTAAGAGTTTTCTCCTTGACTTAATTAGGACTAGAATTGCATTCAGATAAAAGCATTACAACAGAAAAAAGTAAAGAAAAACACACCTGCTCTACTTTCAAATTCCAAATTTTTTAAAGCCTTTTACGACTAATACTAGCCAACAGTGGACAATTATGGTTAGATATTTTAATTATGTTGACCCGCACTTTAAAGCTTTTGTTTGTGGTTAAGAGCAAAATGGCTTCTCAACAAGAAATTACATCGTATTCTTCTATTTGGCCCAAAGGTGGGTTAAACTGTAAGGGAACAACTGAGATTAAGTGTCAGTATTGCTAAGCATGGCATTCACAATACTGGCACTATAAAGAAAAAATAAATTGAAATAATTTATTGGACAGTTTTTGTACTGCCATTCAATTTGATGTGAGTGCCTTGAAAACTGATCTTCCTATTTGAGTCTCTTGAGACAAATGCAAAATGTTTTTGTGAAATGGAAAGACTTTAAAAAAAAAAAGTAAAACAAGAAAAGTACATTCTTTAGAAAAAAGAGCCACATTTACTTAAAAAAAAAATAAATTACTGGTTGAAGATAGTGGACATGAAAATGCCATAAGACCCAATCAAATGAAGATGTATACCCAGCACAACTTCGGACATCCATTAGCTGAATTATTCTCAGCCTTTTTTTTTTCAGGACAACGCTGCTTAGGAAATGGAATGGAAATGAGTTACTGCTGAATTAAAACGCAAATGACACAAATTACAAGTTGTTAACATTGAATGAGAAAAAACAATTCAGGAACAACGGCTAATTTTTTTTTAAAGTTAAATTTAGTGCACTCTGTCTTAAAATACGTTTACAGTATTGAATACATACAAGGGTAAAAAAGAAATTGTGTGTATGTGTGTTTGAGCAATCTCTTTTTTTTCGAAGTTTGCTTAATAGATTATTAAAAAAATGCCATAATGGCCATGTGTATATTGTTTTCTTTTGGTGACGGGGTTTTAGTATATATTATATATATTAAAATTTCTTGATTACTGTAAAAGTGGACCAGTATTTGTAATAATGGAGAATGCCTGGGCATTTTACAAAACCAGAAAGAAAAAAAAAAACTTCTTTTTTCCTTGAAAATGTTGCAGTAAAATTTAAATGGTGGGTCTATAAATTTGTTCTTGTCACTGTAACTGTAAAGTCTTGAGTTTTAGTAAATTTTTTTCTGCCTTGGGTGTTGAATTTTTATTTCAAAAAATGTATAGAATCTTGTATTTGGGGATTAAAAGGTGATTGCTACACCCTGTAGAAAAAGTATGTAGAAAAAAGTGCTTAATATTGTTATTGCTTTGCAGAAAAAAAAAATCACGTTTCTGACCTGTACCTATTTTTCTCTTTTTTTCTTCCCTTCCCCCCTTTTATTCCCCTTCTGGAATGGATATTGATATTGGTTGATTCATATGATGTAGGCACTTGCTGTATTTTTACTGAAGCTTGTAATTTTTTAACTGTACGCTTGTCCTTTTAAAGGGATTTAATGTACCTTTTTGTTAGTGAATTTGGAAATAAAAATAAAAACAAACAAACAGGCTGCCATAATATATTTTTTTAATTTGGCAGGATAAAATATTGCAAAAACAAAAAAAAAAAATTTGTATGTGAAGTCCTTATTGTACAGGAAAAAAAAGGGGGTTGTTTGACGACCTTTGAGTAAAAGAAACAAAACAAAATAATTAAGTGCTTTTTTATTTTTAATTTTATGTTCTTGTTGTTCACGAATAATTTTAGTTGTATATATTTTTTTTGTCAGAAATGGCCTACAAAAAAGTGCTGTTCCCACAGGGCTCTAAATAACTTCAAAGTTGCCTGGACCCCTTGCATCAAGGTTTTACAGGTATGGTGAACCAGGCTGGATGGTTATTGCCTATTTGTGTGAAATGAAATTCCATTCCCATACAGGTGTCTGGGGTGACATCCCACAGCTTCCCCACTGATTTGAGAGAGAGGAGATTTTTCCCCCCTGCCCTTCCAAACAAGATGTCCAACACATCTTCCCTCTCCTGGCCAACCCACACTCACTGCTGCCCACACCCTGCCACTGCCCTCTGGAAGAAAGTTGTTTTATAGCAAAAAGTGAGAGCTGTTGCATCCACTTTGAGAGAAAATGGTAAAATGCTCTGCTGTTAGTATAGCTGTAACCGGGTTGAAGTAAAATTAGTCCAGGCACAGCCCTCCTCTTCCCTGTCAGAACAGGACCTACTCCGTGTACAGGTCTTGCCAGTCCATGTTATTAGCTGCTTTGCTGCTGTTCACTCCTTATTGTACATTCCATAAATTTCTGAATGTTTGAGGGACTGGGATGAAATCCTGTGCCTTTTGATTTCTCTCTTCTTTGCAGTTCTTTCTCTCTCTCTCTCTCTCCTGCTCTCTTCCCTTTTGGGTCGAGGGGAAGACAGGTGGCAGAAGAGGCAGTGATGCTCTAGTGAAGGGGAGAAGGAGAAAATGCTCACCGCTCTTGCAGGAAGTGACGGTAAAACAAAACAAAAACAATGACAAAAAATATTGCCATACCATGCAAGATTTTTCTTCTGCTTTAATCTTTGCAGAACTGTTGAAGCAATTGGAGAAGGATGGGTGTAACAGCAGGGAGAATTTGGTCCAGCTACCTAACAGATAGATATATGTCTTCCTGGTTTGAGCAACATACCCTTAAGACTTCTGGACAAATTCTGGGTCTCAATTGAACTGATATAAATCAGGAATTATTCATCACTCTTAGTCCAGCATAGCTGAGGCTGGAATGTGGTCCCTTAAAGGTATATTTTAACTTTTTGGTGAAAATTCAGATCTCTGGCATTCATATAAACCCAGTCATGTCACAGAACTCAGCAGAATCCCTTGGACATGCATCAGTGTAATAAAGATCAGAAGTTAACTGCATATTTTCAGGCCACAATTAGTTGATTTAAGAAAGAATTTAATCTTTCATTTTAGTGTAAGTTGCTTAGGAGCTCCAGTCTCTTCCTGTTGTTTTCAATTACCCAGGATGGCTAACACCAGCAGTTATCTACTTTTGTGACTTAGATCACTAAAACTAATAAGTCGTCACCCAAAAGCACAAGGGTTGTGTTTCTGCAGACTGTAGTGATAATGAAATGGCCCTCCTTTTTTTCTTGCTTAGAAGAACTATAGTTTACTAGGCCATAAGCACAATATAACATAGACGTAAATAGCTAGAATGCTGCCATAGTTATTTTCAAAATTTAAATGGGTTTAATTATTATTTTAAGGTTGAATTTCTTGCTTTCATTGTGTCTCGTCCTGTTGCCTTTGAAGTCCAGAGCAAAACTCCAGTCAACTGTCTTGGCAACAGAACAGGTCCAAAAACCTGGTTTTAGAAATAAAAAAAAAACCAGTTTTTAAGGAAAGGGTCAAAAAATCAGCATTTCATCCCAGTCCTATGTAAAAGACAGTCCAAGGTTTTGTTTATCACAGGAAAACTCATTTTTATGGTGCTCTTTGTATTTTAGAACTGCAAAGCAAAGTAACATTGATTTAAGTTGTTTGCATTTGTACCGGCAAGGCAAAATATTTTTATTACCTTTTTCTATTACTTATTGTATGAGCTTTTGTTGTTTACTTGGAGGTTTTGTCTTTTACTACAAGTTTGGAACTATTTATTATTGCTTGGTATTTGTGCTCTGTTTAAAAAACGAGCACTTTTTTTTTTATTATGGATAAAATGTTGAGATGGCTGGAGGTCATTTCAATATGGCTTAGTGAAATATTTATTGTTCCTTTTATTCTCTGTACAAGATTTTTGGCCTCTTTTTTTCCCTTATTGTCACAATGTTGAGTTCAGCATGTGTCTACCATTTCATTTGTACGCTCGTTCAAAACGTTTGTTCCAGTTTCAAGTTATAAAAATAAATTGGACATTTGACTTGATCTCCAAATCTTGTCTTTCCTGTTTTTTTTTGAAATTGAAGGGTGGGAAGGGGAGAATAGAGAGGAGTGAGGAGCTGAAGCTTCTTCAGTACAGATAATAGAGCTCATGCTGTATTTTCTGTCAGTTCTCACAGGAGTCAGTCAGGAGAGAATTCTCGTTTGGGGAGGACATATGAACACCTGCGTGATGCTAAGCAGATGCTCAAGTCCTGCTTACATCCCTTGGACTTAAATAATAATGTAAAGTCTTTCCTGAGTAGGGCTCTTGAGAAAAAATGGTAGAATAATGCTTGAGACAGTCAAACTTCTCATATGAAATGATGTTACGTTTGGGACAACTAGCGCAATTTTCTGAAGACAGTGAGAAGTTTTGCTTTTGTGTT